CTAACGCTTATTCCTTTTCTAAATTATCCTTAATGTATTAATAGTAAACTAAGCTGAAATTAAGTCTAAAATTGAGTAGAATTTATTTAAATATTTGAATGAAAAAAAAACCCTTAAAAATATAATTTTTACATATTACTTTTTCTACCCCGTCTTTGATATTTTTCAACATCTCAATTCTAAAGATAAGAAAATGGTTATTTAACATAATTTAGATGCGAATTTTGTTAAGTATACGACGTAAAATTATATTCGATATAGAAACGTGAGAAGTGAGAAAGGTTGGGACCTTGCGCCCTGACCATTAGACACACTCGTTCGTGCAACAATGGAAATAAATTGTATAGCGAACAGGTTCTTTGTTATTTTTCAACGCAATTAACAGTTTAATTATGTTCGCTCTTGCTAAGAGGCTCAAATGGCGAGCCATTTCGCGAATCGTTAAGGAAATTGGATTTAAGATAGGTTTGTAGAGATGTCAATGACGTTTTACAAAGTTGAATGTATTGTATCATTAAACTGTAACTAAGTGAGAGGAAGACAAGTAACAATATCTATACTATTATTGTAAAGCGGAAAAGTTTGTTTGCTTAAACGCGCTAATCTACGCGCGTTGGATAGTCCATTTATAGAGGAAGGCTCTCTGCGACCAATAGTTTTTTCTTGAATTCCGCGCGGACGGAGTCGCGGGCAACAGCTAGCATATTATAACTGTATTATTGCAATTTTCATATCTGTAAAGCCTCGTTGGCTAAAGAGAGAATCCTGTATGCTACAATTCTAATAACCAATGATTATTCTACGCAAAAAGTTGCATAATTCTATTCCCCATTAACATGGAACAGTTTTCTAGAAATTCAAAGATGCATCGCAGTGGAAATTCCGTGCACAATAATAAATTGCAAGCGACCTTTATACAGCAATTAATTAACCCAAATACAAAATAAACGACTTTTTGTTATCTTAAACGCGGGTTCAAAACACTTATAATCTAAGGTAATTGTAACTGGTTTACGGCGAAACGATAAGCTGCACGACAGTACAAAGTGCTGGAAAATTAACGAAAACAATTTTACAACTAAATATACTAAGTGAATAAATGTAATAAAACAATTAAAACTTATCTCTCATACATTATCACTGACCCATCTAAATTATTTTGGGCGATCGGAAGCGAAAATCAGTCTGGCGCCCCTAAATAATAGTAGGTCCATTACTTACTAACCCTCGGGACCCGAACGTCCCAAAGGCGCGGCGCACTAGCGCCCCTCACGAAGTATCCGGGACACTCCCGAAAGTATCACGCTTAAGACAGCCTGCATCAACAAATTCAAAAGAGTAAAAATGACAAAATATGGGAAAAAAGCAATACCTCTGAAACTATCTGTTATATACCAACAAAACTACATCTATATGTTGCCAATCCCCCAAAAAATAGAACAGCGCACGTCATACGATGACCCAAAAAATCTTTTGATAACGAATTGTCCCATTTGTGTCTGTGACAGTATTGAGAATATATTTTATACAAGTGACCTAAATGTCCTATTCTAAGTTTACAAAGAGAGTGTACGACCTATAATCTGTGAATTTTTCTTTATCTGTTGTTGATATCAAAATGGAAAATATTTTCTTTGTTTTGACATTATTTTGCCTTTGGCGGAATATTATAAATGCGAAAGTTTACATGGATGGATGCTTGTTTGAAAGTATCTCCAGAATGGCTCAACTGATTTTGATGAAATTTGGAACACGTATAGAACATAGTTTGGAAAAACACATAGATATTTTTAATTCCTCGCAGACGGAATCGCGGGCGACAGCTAGTAACAAATAACACAGTATCATTTCATTCTGTAATTTATATTAAAATGCCCATTTAAATTTCAATCGTAGGTTAACATAATACAATTTTGTTTGCACTTGAACTTTTCAGACGAGGTCGGACCTAGCGGGTATTAGGTCGTACCTAGGACAAATTTCATTTAGAAAAATGGAAATACTAGACTGATACCAATGTCAAGAATAATTGAATTACTTTGAAGTGACCTGAATGTAAAAGTGTAACATTAATGATTTTTTTTTCTTATTATTAACTTTATTCTTCGAGATTGTCATCATATTATTATTGGAGTGTTTCGTACTAGCTTAATATTTTTTTTTACTTATTTCTATACTAATATATCTTAATTAACTTTTGATATTTAATGTAACCTTTCTTATTATGGTTACTTTTTTATTTTCATGTAAAAAGTCAATGGATGTCAATAGCACATCACACGCAGTACAAATAAAGTCCATTTCAATTTCAGAATCATTATTTGGAATAATAAACTGACAATTGTTTTATTAATAACACGGAATAATAGGATTATGATAATCAAAACATATTAGGAAGTCTTGTAATCAACAATTTAAGGAAGCAAGACATACGTTTAATAGCGGAAATCACTTGTTTTTAAATTAACTTTTTAAATGCGTGCAAGTATTCAATTCTATAAGTCATGCGACTGGCGTGTTCAGATCTATACAATTTACAATACGAAGAAATAAAAATAAGTATGAATAAGGATAAGATTGAAACAGGAAAATCGATGTGAAACACGTATTTTAGCTATAAACTTTATTACATATACCTGTATTTCTTGGAATTAATATAATTACATACCTTCTCTGATATAGTTCTTTTCAAATATCTTGGCGGCCCAAGGACATCGGCGCGGCGCACTGCGCAGCAACTTGCGAGATGTTAACAGCCGCCAAGATATCCGAAAACTATAATAAAATCCTATGAAGCTGTAGCTACCATAGTACAAGCAAGATATTTTAAGACGTAGACAGTTCGTCGTCAGAAAATAAAAACAAGTTTGCAAGGTCGCAGAAGACATTTTTCTAGATAGATAGAATCGGGTTAATTGCCCATGTTAAGTCTGTGACTTCATCGTGACGATAAAAAACCTAATAGGTTTCAAATTATGACTAAACGTAGTGCTTAAGATGAACCGCTTGCTAATTACAGATCATTAAATCGCGTTTGTAGGTCTGGAGTTGTTGCGAGTTACATAAATCTAGCTAGGTATATATTTCTATTTAAAATCAGTCTTAACTACTTAAATACTTTTGATTAGCGCTCGTTGGCAGCTGTTAACTTATTATATGTACTACTCGTTTCATGATTAATACCTTTTGTGTCATTCCAGTACGGGGAACAGTGGGAATTTCATGTTTGAATACGCATCTATCTTATTATTCCCAGTTTTTTTTTACTTAAAATGCATTAAGTGTAAGTTCGTAATACCATTTCAAACGTTAACTTAATGTTGAACGATTTAAACGCAACATAAGTCAATATGGGACGGCATCTGGCGTACCTACACACCGGACCGGGTAAATATTTGAACGAGTGTTCCATAGACGTGGAGTGCATTTCTGTTATAAAATTGCATCATGTCTTATTTGAGAACCAGATTCTATACTAGTAAATAAGCTTTATCTTTTAGCGTTATTTCCAATTTCGTTTACATTAAGTGATAAAAGATTTGTGCTATTTCCTTGTTGTTTTAAACTCTCCGCTTTCATCTCCCGTCGAATACAGTTGCTTAGTTATTTTTGACGTAATCTTTGTTGATTTTGTAATACTTAACCACTAATGATTGTGTATTTTACAGTAACATTTTTAAGCATTTCAATCATCATGTGTTAGCGCAATTCAGCTATCTTCTGTATTGGATTAAATGTTCCAATGCAGAAATCCTCGTCATCACCGTCAATCTGAATGATGTAAACAAGTTACAACCGCAACAAAGCAACTACTATCAATGCGTACATCTTTATGACAGTTGTTATTAAGCGCAAACATTATTTGACCCTAATTGTTTTGCGGTGTACTTGTTTATTGCTGTGTTTGTCAATTTGCATCACTATCTAAACGATAACCTACTTAATTAATAATTTCGATTACTTTATCTTTACGACCAAATTGACTTCTTACTTGATTTTATCAAACTACGTACTTGTGTAGTTAGAAACATTGCAGTAGTTATTCTTACAGCTAAATAATTTTCTTACTTCCTTAAAACGCCATAAAGTTTATAGCACAGAATATATAAGTTTATATCTTACACTAAATATGAACGTAGTTAAAAAGCTTTAGACACTCACTTCTTTATGACGGGCACAAGCTCAGGTGTTCCTCGTGTTATGATGATACGTTATCTCTCGAAGATTACGTTACCTGTTTGCTAGATAACAGCTTGGAATGCTGGAGTTCAAACTGATAGGAAACTTTGAAGATCATTTTTATTATGTCTAATATGTTTTGAACCTTTTTCATATTTTGAATCATGTTCTGTAGCTTGGGTACATTTTTCTGCCACGTCCTTAGAAAACGCTCGTGAGAATTTCGTATTGTTTCAAAATTATTTAAAGTAATTTTACATCATTTAAATTCCAATGATACTTATGTAAATCAACAGTTCCATTGTGTTAAGTCAATCACCTCTTTTAAGTCGAATTAGAGTTGATTAGCGCCACACACTAACATTGCCTTATTTGGTATTTCGTACTGAATATTTTCTATTCCTTTCCCAATAAGGTATGGCAGCCATCTTTAATTTGCGGACTCGCGCGTCTGTTTCCCGAAGGCGCGATGTGATAAACGTTTGGCGCCATTCGATGTTGAATTCGTAATTCAAACTTCAGAGAAGTGTAGCCGGATGTCGACATGACTCCGAGCTGTATCAACAGAATATATAACTTTTTGTCCATAGACAACTGTCCTGACCATAAATAAATGAATGATTTCATGAATTTATGAAATAAATTCCTCCTGATCGTTCATCTTTTACTTGCTATAATGGTATACATTTTATTAAATTTCCAATGTCATCTAATGAAATTCAATATTTCTAATTTATGTTCGCGCTTTATTGATAATTAAGCAACATAGATAGATGGTACAAAAATAAATATGCTGATTTGCTTTCTTTGTTTGTCACCAGATGGCGTAGCGTAATGGAGGGGGAGTGCTCGGAGGGCGGGGAGGGGTGGCTGCTGGTGCGCGTGCACGTCCCCGAGCTCAACGTGCAGAAGAGCCTGCAGTTCCCAAGGGACCAGCTCGTCTGGGACGTTAAGCAGCAGTGCCTCGCCGCTTTGCCCAAGGTCTGTACTCTTTACCCTGCCTTACCTTGTGTTATCTGATGTTGTGATATCACAGAGCATGCTGATTATCAGATGAGTAGTTAAGAAAAAACATACGAATAAAATCTCTAATACATTTAAAAATCAAGTCAAGACCACAATGTCAAGGTTACAATATTACATGAGAGCTTTTACAAATATTTACCTTGATAGAAAACAACAGACGTAGGTCATAACATTTCCGTCATAAGTTATTAAAGTCCTGGCGCTGTGTAAGCAATAAATCCCGCTCATAGCGAGTTCCCGCGGGCGACCGGCAGCCGAGCACTATTTCTAGACATAATCTAGGCAATAGCCAAGGCGCAGGCGCTTAGTCTATTAATAGACGAAGACTAACAAAGCCTACGCACTGCTTAACAACAAGAAGTGGTTATTTACTTGTACATTATTAATAATACAAGGCTATTTATAAGTTTTTAATTTAATAAAACAGTCTTAGAAAACTCGTGATATTCAATTTTCAAATCTTAAGATCGAAATTGAATATTATAATAAAATATCTTTGGCTTATTAATACTTTTAGATATGATTATGACGCTTTGTTTCATCTCCAACTTGCTTATTTGTTTGATGGAAATTGTGTGATTGGACCTATTGAAAATTTATAAAGAATCTGTCGAAAATCATTCTATGTAGATCGAGAAATCTGGCTGTAGTCTGAATGTTATCATTGAATTAAAAAATAAAAAAAAATAAAAATCCTTTATTGACCAAAAAAAAAACATTTTCACAAAAATTTTGGGGGTCTGCCTCCTGAACTAGTAAATGAATTTATTATAAATTAATCATAAATTGAGTGAATGACATAAACAAATTATATAATATGAGACAAGAAATCAAGCGATCATAATATGAACGCTATTGGAGAAGAGATCGACCAGATTCATGAGTTACAAACGTCTGACTTTACCTTATACAGAAATTTACGGTTGTATAAAAGACGGTTTAAGCGAAACACCCGTACACTTTAAAACCCATAAATTTGCACCATCTCCGTAAAGTTGAAAATAAACTCACCATAAAATTTATATATTTATTGTCTTCGATGTCTCGTGAAAAATACATTATGGAAATTGAGAGTTCAACCTTACCTGGTTAAAGAAATTGATTGCCAGTTTAAAATGGTAAAAAGCCAGATATGAAACTGTCGCTTTAAAGTGTAAATGTAAATAAAGATGCCCTTTGTCAACCTTTTTGGTGAAGAATTATATTTTATGATAAGTAGAATGGAAGCAATGGTTTTAGACTCTCGTCACTTCTGATCACTACATTCAAATTCTATAGATTCAAGCATGTACGCCTGAATTTGAACATTATACACTTTATAGTAATGTAAAGAAGACTGAGATTACTTCATGAAATAAATGTATAAGAGCTCATTCAATTAATCATATATCATCGACCTTGACGCTGTGAAAATAAGGATATGTTGCATGATGAAACTTTTGCTCGTAAGTTTACTTTCGATTTATAAGCGAGTACAGCTTTAAGGGCAGTTGTTTATAAACTTGAAAGAATGTTAAGAATTAATCTGTTTTCGCTTCCTTGACCACTTTTCTTATATACGTAAAGAATTCTTACCGACGAAATGTCGCCTGCAATATTTCCTTTCATTTCTGGAACCTAGTTGAAGTTTTATTTTAACAAAAATTTACTACAATGCCTTTCATATTACGATAAATCGCATATTAATACTATTACTTTACCATTTATGTTTTTACTTAGCTAAAATTCCATTAGCTTTGCCATGTACAACATTAAAGAATTGCCTAAATTCATATAAACCTGCTTCAAAATCGATTCCATTGAAATAAAGCAATCCATTATACACCGAGTTGATTTTCAATCCCAATGGATCTCGACATCGCAATGCAAATATCGGAAACGTAAGCGACGACGACTCAACAATATTTGTCACCAGATTAAATTCCATGTGGAAATCATGCTTGCAAACAATTAAGTTTAAAACGTTTGTAATTAAATTTTTTGAATTCTTATCGGGAAAATACAATCCCGGATTGTTCTAGAACTACAAAATAACGTTTATAATTTCGTGAATATATTATTTATTTCGCATTTTATTTTACTTTACCAAGATATTAAAATGGAAGAATAGAAATTGCATAATATTTGAAAATGGTAATAAAGAATTGATTCTAATGCAAAAGTGTGTACCTTTGTAATGAAGCAAAGGCACAACGTAAATAATAAAGTTATGATTTCCTAAGAGAACCAGCATTTCATTATGACATGCTTCCGTTGTCGGAGCTCGCCCACGGTGCGTGGGCGTGCGCGACACGCTGGGACACGTAAATCGCAATAAAGGCTACATTAAACCATCACCTGTCTGCAGAACAACAGTAGGCGATAAAGCATACGAATGTTTTAGTTATTTTTAGCTGTCTAACATATTATGACTTCTACTCTGTGTGCTACTGGCATTGAATGGAAATTGAAAAGTTACGAAAGATAATATGGATAAAGGAATCTCATATGTGTTCTAGTAAATTTTTGTCTTCAAAAAGCAGGAGGTTCTTAATTAGTATGTCTGTTTTTTTTTAAATTACTGTAAACTGCATTAATGTTTTGTTTCACTTGAAAATAAGATATTATTTTAAGACGAATATTTTAAAAAAAATTTACATGCTAATTTTATTTTCGTAGTAAGTTAAGTCATGTAGTAAGACAATGAAAAGGTACTTGCTACCTTATTTAGGAATACGATTAACATCTGTGTGGGTTTTAATGTAAGGTTACATTTTGGATGATGACATAATTGTGGGACAATCGAAATTCAAAAGATATTATACATATAAATTCATAAAACTGTATAAATTAAACTGGAAAATGACCGCTAAAAGTTAATATAATTATTGAAATTGCATTTTTCGGCCAGTGGTCCTAGAACGAATATTTGTGACCAGCGCTATCGTATCATCGACAAAATTTGTATTTAAATTTGTGCAGCGACCCCTATCGAACGTAATATACACCAAAAACGTCATACTAATTTTGACAAAATGACGATAACGATACGTAGACGTTTGCCGTGAATATTCGTGACACCGAACTAATAATTAATAGACTTCAGTTATATGCACACATGACAGGCGTGACTTTTAAATATTAATCGTGTTTCGTAAAAAATAATAGCCCACTAAGCATCTATTGCAAGGTAATAAAAATGTTTCCATCTTTATATTTAACGTGTTTTTAAGTTAATAGCAATAATTTATAAAATAAATTGTGCTAAAGATCTGCGTGATTCAACAAATGCAACGAGACTCTCATAAAACAGAAATAATTAGTATTACATCTGAATATCTCTAATAATAATGATAATGTCAAAATCTCTGCCTTTATAAAGTTGAATAACAGCTATCAAGGTTCCATATTTAAATGTCAAAAGTGTACTCATCTGCGTCGATCTATCCCTGTAGATCTCGGAAAAATCTTCCGTCGGTCACAATAAAAACCAGTTCTTACATACCGTTAACTTAGTTTCTTAAATACATCGACATATGCTGGATGTACTCGTACTACTAACTACTATAAGGTACTGCATTCGATGAATACAACATTACTAACGTTAAGAATAATCATGTTAACTTTTATATAACTTACCGTTGGTTTTTGAGATGAAAAATTTTGTAAACATGTCATTATCTTTAACAAAATAGATATAACAGTATGATTTAAACGAGTATTTGGTCTGAGAAACCCACGGTTAGTAAATCTGAAGTTATGTATTTAAAAAAAGTTTTAAAGCTTAGAAGCTCGGCATTCCTCGTACTTTAATAATTTAAATATATTTTATTTCCCTTGAGCATTTTATGAACTTATCCAGCGGATTTAAAAAGTTCTCAAGGTAAGGAATCTTACAAAAAAGTTACTCTTGTTTTCATTAAACTTTTAATAAAAGCGAGTTCAAATCATAACTTAACAACCTCATTTTACTCTTTTATCGAATGGTCTACTAATTTTCAATCCCGCGACATATTACTACTAATGAGTAATTTGTGCTTTTTTTAATTGTCAACAAAATATGACTAATATTTACTATCTGTATACTATCAGAAATTCTTCCTAGTAATATTACACATTTTGTTATCAATTGTACTTTGATATGTGACCTAAGAATAAAACATTTTAATGTTAAGAATGTAAAATAATATTTGTATGAAAACCGACCTTTATAATAATGAATTAATTTATTTATTCGTTTATATTTTAAATGTAAATATTGTATTTAGTTATGTAAGTTGTATATAATGTAGTACCTAATATAATATGTATGTATATTGTTTTCGGTGGTGCGGCGCCAACCACAGGTGGCCACTTGGTACAGGGTACGTGTAATTTTTACTGCAATATTGTGTATACGCTTGAGTATTACCTTAATACCTGCATGAATCAACCATGATTCAAATATAAAATCAGCTGGGACCTCTCATGTTTAAAGCATGATTATGTTAACTGCATGGTCTGTTAGTCGATTTGGAACCAACTTTATACGACCGGTTGGCTGTAATAATCACTCCATCGATAAAAACCTACTTAAAGCTGGGCCATGGCATGAATATATAATCTGTGGCATTGACGTATCACAACAAATTCAAATAGAAATGTTCCCTTGCAAATGCAGTGTCTTAGCTTCGCTGTGGGTTTCCACTCTCGAAACATTTTGTCATCTCTATTTCCGATATGAATGAGAGAGAAGACGATATGTTTTTATACATTTGTTTCGGCAGTTGAAACGCTCGGCTACTTTTGTATGTTCGATGTTAGTCACTTTCCAATTATACCCCTTGTATATTTTTACTTTATGTAATTCTAGCTGTCAACCACGACACGTTTCGGAGATTACACGGAACAAACTCGGCATACGGACAAACAGACGAAAATTTTAAAAATTGGCTTTTTGTACGAAACATGATTTATTGATTTATGTACATACAGACACTCCAATTGTATTATTTTCCGCTAATTAAATTCCGCTACAAAAACCAAAGATCTGTAATTTTGATTATTGAGAAATTATTTTTAGTTTAATATTTACTTAAAAGTTGTTAAATTAAATAATGTATGCATGTAATCAGTGTACTTGCATAACAAATAGGCTAAATATTACACTGAGAATGATTTTCCATAATGTTATCTAAAGTTCAACGTAGTAATGACATGGTGACTCAAACCAACTCATAGTAATGACACAAGGTTTTATTTGAAAGTAATTTTCCATACACACCACATTAACCAACATATTTGTTGTCTCATTTCTTAAAAGGAAAATGAGAGGGATGGTAATATCGAATTCGGTTTTAGAAACAACAGTTGATCAAGTTGAAATAAAATGAACACACTCACCTTCTGTAGTTACAGTACTTTATAATTTATTATTATTAGGTTTTATTATTATTATTTACTTTTAATGATTCAATTTTAAAGGGGAAAATCCAGTAACGTAGTAACCAAAGTAACGTAGAAATGACTCATTATACATTAGTCTGGCATGACAAAACATCAAGCCATCCGCGCGCGGCCCACTGATGGCCTAGATATGGGAAGCCTTACTCCATACTTTTTCCCGCTTTACTAACATGGAACTATTCTTTTGTGCTCTTTACTATTTCCCTAGTTTTCATATTTTCAAAGCGAATACTTCTCTGGGCTCCGCAAATGGAATTGAAAATGGAACTGTCTATTGCATAGACTAAAAATAATTCTTGTCTTTGATTGTTACATACTTTGACTTTTTATTTATGGTTTCATTCATTTTTATAAAAAGATACATCTTCGATGGAATAAATTAGAAGAATTTAATTATCTTCTTTGATTTTCTGTGATAACTTTATTACTCAAAAGAAACAACACTAGGGGGTTTTTTGCGTAATTTTCAGTAATCCGTATAAAGCGGTATTTGAACAAAAATACTTTGAAATTGAAAATAACCCGTTACAAACGGAATTCCAGCATTCACATTGAATATATTTAAAAACCTACAAATCCAGAATACCAAAGTTAAAATCAAAATCAGTGAGATAAATAATTCTATTTATTTGCATACGAAAGCTACGCGACGTTTTTCCGCGTCTTTATTAACGATGCGCCGTGAATCGAAATGTCAAGCGAGAGCACAGATTAAATATTATTTTTAAAATAGAAAAGTTGGAAGCACAGAGTATTTAATGTTACATAGCAGTGACTGCAAATAACATCTATTTACAGTTACTTTGTGACTATAAATTTATGCAGCTATCAAGGAATCTCAACTATTTCGCAAGGAAGCACAGACTAATTATAAGTTCTTGTTCCAAACATAGACTAATTATAGTCTATGTACTCTATGATTCGTTGGCATAATTTAATTTTGCCGCATTCAAGGGAACTATTTGAATTTCTGAACTAATCTTTAGTTATAATTTTAATTTGCTCAATAAGCTTCGAATATTTCTTTAATACGTTCACATTTAAAGTAAAAATACATTGCAATTTTATAACTCCACTGCGTCAACCTTTCTCTTTATTCCTACTGATTGATTCTTAGAATCGAAATTTCTTCTCACGGCCCGATTTATTTAATTCGAAGGCCGATTGCCTTAACGAACGTTATACGAAATTTGATCAGAATATTAAATATATTGAGTTTATTCAGACAAGAAAAAGAAAATATAACTTTAATTCAAACAGCTCAGTGATAAAGTTATCTAACTTAATACAGGACAGTTTTACTTTGATAGACTTTTGTCTCAATTTGGATGTTGCCTATCTATATCTATTTATTATATCGTTGCATTTTCATTTGCAAATATCGATGGTTACTGTTAATTATAAAAAATAAGGTAACAAATGACGGAGGTTTTTAAATATTATTGAATTACAGTAACGGAAAGACACAGCCACGTTGTGGAATACCCTGTCCTCAGCGGTATTTCCAAACAGTTACGACTTAGGGGCCTTCAAGAAAAGAGCGTTCACCTTCCTTAAAGGGCGGCAACGCATCTGCGGTTCCTCTGGCGTTTCAAATGTCCATGGATGTCGGACCAAATAATTTTAGGCGATTCGTTGCTCGTTTGCCGCCTTCTCTTATAAGAAAAAGAACTTGCCACAATTTGATCTTGATTATTAACGTACAAAGGATGTTTCAATTATCATTTCAGTTCAAACTATTATTAAAAGGTGTTAAAATGAATACACTATTAATAAATATTAAAGACGTAATTTATGAGCTATAACTTGCCAACAATCTGCACGTAATGAGAGTTTGCTTCATGAGTAATTGGCGCCATAGCTGACCTTGCTTTTATTACCAGCCCCGTTGGTCTAATAGCGCTATGATACATAACTGTTCCAGGTTCAAAGTTCCGAACACAGTTACTTAATGTACGAGTACCTACAATTCTCGGTAAGAATTCCTTTCCTACCCTGTATAAAAATCTACCAAAAAAAACAATTTTTTGTCATATTTAAGCAGTGTCATTTAGAAGTTCAATTGATTTTTTTTATAACTTTGCATCGAAATATATAAATTTACTAGCCGTCGCCTTCGACTCGGTCAGCGCGGAAGTAAAAAAAAAATAATTAGTAGCCTATGTGTTCGTCCAGACTGCCTCCTACATTTATACAAAATTTCAGAGATCCATGCATCCGTTCTAGAGATACCTTCTGACAAATCTCCATCGATACAACTAAGCGATGTATTTCTAAAAGTCTCAGGATTTCTTCATTAACTAAGACCAGTTCTACGGAAATGTGAAGCGCGGAGACCCGTCCAGTTGACATTATGCGAAGATACAATTGTTCGGACCCACCTTAAAGGTGTACACGTTACAGGAAAAACTTTAGCGAATTCAATCATTAATTAATGCCATTGTTTTTTTTATTCGTAGTCGAACTTACAAAGACATCCGAATGATTGAAGTGACATTAAAGTAGCGCTGTAATTATGGAATAAAAAACACTAATCAGTACACCATTAACGTGGGTTTCCATTGATGAATCCACACAGACACGTTTTTATTATCCTTGATAATAACAGACATAACATTATGCTTTTATTCGGCAGTGGAAACTTACGGTTACAATTTACACTTCGACTAATTGTCACTATAGAGGTTCCGCGCAGTATAAAATACTCTTTTAAATCTCCGTCTATTTATATTTCTTATTATTTAATTTATGTTATGTTTCATATATTAGATATTCGTTAATTAGTTGGCAAACACAGCAGCCTCATCCGTGGGAGGAATAGCTAGAATAGTAATCTAATAGATGTAAAACGTTTGCGATTATAGAATCCATGCATTGACACTGCAAGGTGATGCAATGTTTAATTCATATACGATAATGTACATTAGTTGCATTATTTATTCACGCTTATGTACCAACGGTCCATAAAAGCTTCGCCAGGATATATGTATATTTCATATACTTTTTATAACGATATATTATATAACTATAAAATAAACTATGAAATTTGAACAAAAAGCACTTTAACATTGTAATATAGCATTTGGTTTTTCTTACAATCTTTTTTTTTTTGTCAATCTTTAAGAACCTATGATTTCTGATGCTAAAATAAATTTATGAAATAAATAGCGATTCGTTAGACGTATACTCCAAGTGAATAAAATTTTCTTGCCTTGAGAAAAATGAAGTAGCCGACTCGGGGTCTTGAAACTAATTTCGACGGCATCAAAGATTTCACGTGGAAATGCTTAAGGTAAACGTTGAAATGAGAATTTTTCTACTTGCCCCGCTTTCCGATGAAATTAATCTGTAGAAGGAAATACTCCGAAAGCGAATTCTTTACGAACCTTGATTTATTTTTGTCGTATAATTTTAAATGGCTTCAAGTATATTGTAATGATAAAAAATAAAATTTTGTTAAATAACCTTTTTAATACAATGCTTGGCTTTTATATATTTCCATATAACAAGCAATTAAAATCTTTGATGACTGATTGCCGTATTTTTCGTCACATAATTTGGTCAGTCACAAAATTCATCAAATTTCTAGGAAATAGTAAGACAAGTAATCGCTTACACATAAAAGATAATATGACTATTAAAATACAATTTATAGACACAAGCTGTAAATAGGAGATGACTTCATCTCTGAGGTGTCGGGGACTATGCAAATTATGATGCAATCGGAATTTTTTTGTAAGTGCATGTTTGCAAACTTGCTTTGGAATATTATTAAATCCATGCTTTTTGCTATTCAATGGATAGTCAACATTTTACACTAATGTATGTATTTATATCATCTATATCAGGGATGGCGAACCATTGGCACAGACACAATATTTTGAGTACATTACTGACCACAAAATTATAATATAAAGTA